GTTTATAAAAAATTTATTAAATAATTATTAAAAAATAAACTTTTTGAAAATTTTCTAATTCTAAACGAAAGTATATTTTATCCCCTTTATATTCCCGCTTGGTTCATTTAAATCGGTTCATTCATTTAGGAGAAATCAAATTTTGTTTAAAAAGTTGCAAAAAAATTAATTTTGCAATAACTTTTGTAAAAAATAATTTTTTTTCTGTTTTTTTGGTGGACACATTCTTAAGGCCAAATAGAAATGTTTTTTCAACATTTCGATTTAAAAAAAATACCTTTTATTTTTTGTGGGGAAATTTTCACGAATTCTGACCCAATATATTCATTTCATTTTTAAATCAATTTCTATTAGAAAATTCTACTGGAATTCAATTATTTAAATACAAAAATAAATAATTTATTGAATAATTGAATGTTTCTTAAAATCAATTCCCATAAAGAATTATATTAAGAAACTTTTAAAGAATTGAGGCCTTGGATCCAATAACTCGCCCGACGCTCGGAGGTACGCGCTAATACCAGTCGGGTAGCAGTGAGTGGCCCAGAGGCGCTCACTGCTCACTGACTGGCAGTTGCGCGTTCCTCCGAGCGTCGGGCGAGTTATTGGATCCAAGGCCTCAATTGAATAATTTAATTACAAAGAAGAATTTTATTATTTTTGAACAATATTTAATTTTTGCGAAGGATATTATTACTCTTGAAAATAATTGAATTTTTGCAATAATTTGTAACATTTCCAAAATTAAATTTTTTTACGAGTTTTCAACTAAAATTCTTCTATAAATGCATTATTTTTAATAATTTTTGAAAAAGTTCTTTGAGTATTTTCAAATTCATTTGTTTATAATTCAATTTTACAAAATTTCAATTATTCGTAAATTCAGATTTTCAAAATTTTCAATTTGAAACCTTTTCAAAATTCAATTATTTTAAAAAAAAATTCATGCTATAATGCTTCTAATATTCAATTATTATCTAAAATTTTAACTAAATTCATTTTTAAATCAATTTTTATTAGAAAATTCTACTAGAGTTCAATTATTTAAATACAAAAATAAATGATTTATTAAATAATTAAATGTTTCTTTAAATTCAATTCTCATAAAGAATTTTAATAAAATTTTTAAGAATAGAATTAAATTTTTCGAGAAATTCGATTAAAATATTGTATATATAAATATCTATTAAAAATAATTGAAATTCTGCGATGAGTTTTATTATTTGTGAAAATAATTGAATCCCTAAGAAGAATTTTATTATTTTTGAACAATTTTTAATTTTTGCGAAGAATATTATTACTCTTGAAAATAATTGAATTTTTGCAATTGTTTGTAACTTTTCCAAAATTAAATTTTTTTTACGCGTTCTAAAAATTCGATTGATTCTCATAAGAATTTTAATAAAATTTTTAAGAATAATTAAATTTTTTGAGGAATTTGATTAAATTTATATTGAAAATAATTGAAATTCTGAAATGAGTTTTATTATTTATGAAAATATTTGAATTGTTGCGTAGAAATTTGTAAAAAAAATTGTAAATACATAATTGAATTCCTGTGAATTTTGTATTATTTTATGAAAATAATTAAATGTTTGCCTAGAATTTTATCAAATTCTTTTTTTAATAATTGAATTCTTTTGGAAAATTGTTGATAATAATTGAATTTCGGAGAAAAATTCTTATATTTCTAAAGATAATTGCAATTTTTATGAGGATTTTTTGAAATTTTTGAAAGTAATTGAATTTTTGCGAAGAATTTGAATTCTTTTGAAAATAATTGAATTTCTGCAATCATTTGTAATTTTTCTGAAATTCTTCACGGGATTTACGGACCTAGGTCGAGCCCTGGAACACTGAAAGCAAATACCATTTAATTGATTTAATTAAAAATTATTTAATTTAAGTAAATATTTATTTGATAATAGGTACACCCAGAAAAAAGATATATTTAATTCAGGGCCAACTAGACTTTTTATTTGTTTTGAATAAATTTTTATAATTGATTCAAATAAAAATTTTATTTATGTCGAATAAAATTTGTATTTGAAGCAAATAAATAACCAATTTGGCTCTGAGACAAATATACTTTTATATTTAACTCAAATAAATTATATTTGGTTTAAATAAAATTTTTCTCTGGGTATAGACATGAAGGTAAACGGATAAACGGTTATTTGTATCAAATAAAACTACAGGCCTTGGATCGACTTTAAAAAGCAAAAAAAAAAAAATGGTTTTGCTCAATGCATAGTACAAAAAAGATTATCAGGTACCTAAAATCATTTCAAGTCTTAATTTTTCAGAGTTGTCATAAAAATTTGATTTTCTATTTTCCTGACTTTCCACGAAGTTGAAGTCTACAACGTTGATCAACGAAAAAAATTTATTTACATTCAAATTGTAAAACAATTATCATCAAAATATAAACATCAATTTTTTTCTAAATATTTTTGTGTCAATATTGGTGCGTTTTCTATAATTAATTTACTTAGTGAACATTTTTTTTCGTTGATCAGCGTTGTGGACTTCAACTTGGTACTTTCGTTTAACTACCAGAAATTTTTTTAATTATTTTCTTTATCCTAATTATTTTAAGTTTTTGTAAAGTTCAATTATTTTTTTTTAAAATTATTTGCAAATAATTTTTAACACTTTAATTTTAATATTTTTCTTCAAAAAAACTTGATTATACTTTTAAAAATTGCAATAAAAATTATTGAAATAATAAAAATTTAATCATTTCTGAAAATTGAAACTGTGATTTTCCGTTAAATTTCAATTATTTTCTCGAATTTAAAAAAAAAAATTATTTAGAAGTTAATTATAATTTAAAACAATAAATATTTAAATATTATTATTATTATTATTTTTGCAATAACTATAATTAATTTTATACAATAAGAGTTTAAAAAAGTGTGTTTCTTTAAATTCTGTAACAGAAAGTCCCCTTAAATACAAAAAATTTAATTTTTTTAATAAAAATTGCACACTGTAACACTTTAAATTTTTTCTTAAAGTTATTACTTAAGATGAAAAAGAAAATCTTAGGATAATTTAAGGTTTTTAGTATTTTCAAAGTACAAAAATCAGAATTTTTGTGCATTTCCAGAAATTTAATGTATTTCCACGTTATCTTTGGATAAAATTAAAATTACCTAACTTATCTGATTGTCCTGACCTGCGACAACTGTTATTGTCAAAAATTCATAAATATGTAAAAAAATTTTATTCAAATCAACTAAAGTTGATTTGAATAAAAATGATCTGATAATAAATAAATATTCATTTGATAATAGTTACGTATGGTAATTCTTATTTCAATTCATTATCTCCATTTATTGTTTCTATATTAAATTTTCTTTTAATTTATTATTACAACAAGAAGAACATAAATCAATTGTTAAAGAAACTATAATAAATTTTTGTATATTAGAACAAAATTTAATGAGTGTAAAAACTAAAGTATAATTCGAACAGGCAATTATAAACTAAAAGTCTCACGAGTATGACAACAACCTTAAAGAAAAAAAAATAGATTCGAACACGGAAAAGAGAAACGTGTTTTCCAGCTTCTTTTATACGAGTTTTAGATAAACTTCTATATCACCTTCGTGACAGAAAACGATTTCTGTTTTCCCAAGGTTTGCAGGTATAAGAAAAGATAATATTTTCTCAATTTGCTCAAGCAATGTGTTTAAACGACTTTTATAGGATAGTAACTTAAGTTTTGAGTGAAAAAAACTAAACCCGATCTTTTTAAAGAGACGTATTTGTGCTACTATTTTACACCTGTTGTATATATATATAAAATTCTGGGACATTATAGTAGCAATTGACCCATTTTAAATGATATTTTTAATGTTCATACTTTTACCTAGATATTAATTTTCCCTTATTATGTACAGTTAATTTTCTGGACAAGCCTTGCGTCTTTTGCATTATTGCCTATATAATTTTACAACAAACTTGCGGTACATAAATATCCCGGAAAAAATTATTTTTTCTAATAGCAGAACTTGAGAAAACACAGTAATTATATTATTTGGAAAACGTGATTTAGAGATATAAATCAACTTTTACCTAATAATTGGCCCAATTTTCAATTAACTGTTTGAATTGCAAAATTAAACGTGAAAATGTTTAATGTAAATTTATGGTTGAATTAATTTTTCCCATAATTTTAGGTTTGATGATTTTTAATTCGATTTTTGAAATTTTTTTCTATTTAATTGATATTTTAACTTTAGTCATTGATATAGATATAATTAATGAAGATAAGAAAATTAATTCAATTAGAAAAGAGAAATCTTACAAAGAAGACAATATTGCCATTATTCATTATAATTAAGATAACTGCGAATTCTTTAGTTATCTCTCAAAAGTACTAATTGAAATTCATTATCATTATAGGAACTTTTTAGTTTCAATATAGAAAGTAAACCGCAATGCAGAAAATGCATTTTTTTCAATTTACACTTCCTTGTTATTATTATTATCATCATTAGTAATTAAATTTATTTTCCGAAGCAAAATTTAAAAAATTATTTTAAAAATTAAATCATCTAACTGTCACATCATTGAGAGTATTTCGAGAAATCCCTCGGTCTTTTGAAAAATAGCTATTTTTCTCAGAGAAGTGCCAGCGGACCCTTTGTATAATATAAAAGGTCAAAGAAAGATGCTTCCGTGCCGCCAAAAGGAAGCAGAAAATAAAAAATTTTTTCTCAACGCAAAACATTTGGATTTAACGTTCAAGCATTCAGTGTTTTTCAACCTCCAAACTGTTCACTCAAGCATGGAATTGATATAATCGAAAGTTTATAATGCACTTGCAATAAAGAAAATATAACTAAATTGTCTTAAATTTCAACCTCCGCTTCAAATAAATATCAAATTCAAGAAAATAATTTTTCTATAAAATAAAAGTAATACCTATATTTTTTCCCTTTTTATGAAATAAAAGTATCATAAAGAAAGAGTAAACAAAAGAGACATACCGTTAACACCGTGATGGTCCACAAGAAGATCAGTCAAAACATGGGGACACACAGCCTCCAGAGCAAAGCAAAACTCCCGGAAAGCATTGAAACCTTTAGTGCCAATCACGTCGATGAATAAATCGATGTCGGTTTCGCTTGAACGATCTGCACTGCCAGCGACCGCGTCTCTGTCAACCTCCGAAATCACTCCACGTTTCACCAACACATTCAATAAATTTGTAGCATTTAATTCGCGGAGGAGGGACGCTTTGTGTCGACACATGAGACTTCTAACCTCCGAGGATCCCGCCATGCTTACATTTAACACTATACTCGCGCGTTTACGAAGCAACAGGTGTCACTGGCTCGAAAAACTTTCTTCCCCTTCACTCTTCGCAGCAAAGACTCATCTCAGAGCAACTCCCACCGATCCTTTTTCCTTCTGCTGCTATATAGCTTCTACCATTTATTCCCATTCCTTTTCTACCCACGCTTTAAAGCACATTGTCCCTCTCTATTTCACTGTCTTCGATTTATTTCTTTCTCTTTTCTTTGATCCTATCCCCACCTACCCTTCTCGACAATGTTGCCGACTTGCCGTTGCCGTTCACCCTTTTGAGGTTATGTTCATCACTCTTCAAAAAATTCTATATGTATACAAATTTTTAAAAACTTCGTATCAAAATATTTAGAATTCGTAAACATGACTAAAGTATTTTAATAATTAGTAAGTTTTCTTTATTTGTCATTTGGTTCAAATAGAAAAAACTTAGCGACTTAATATTTCAATCTCTAAATATTTTTGCATCGCGTTCTGCAGTCATTCTGCTTATTGATTTTATACCCTACTAATCAAATTAACATTTTCATTAACAATATCTCGATTTTTGAATATTTTACTTTAGTTTATTTACAATGTGATCTGATAAAAACAAAAACAAAACCGTCAAAAGTTGTAAAACATTTGAAAATGTTTCGTAAAATTTCGTTAAAAATCGTTTACTTCCGATTGATCTGGTCGCGCATGCGCAAATGACCGACAAAAAAGGCGCAACAATTACTTTCACATTTTAATAATTTTTTACCAAATTTAGTCAAAATTTTCTAATTTTAGTAATCTTTACACGAATTAAACCTATTCTACTTATTTAATTTCAATTCCGGGACAATATATTTTTTGGAAAATCGAGAATTTAGAAAATTGTCGCGCCCTAACCTAAGATAATACCGATTTTCGGTTTATTAATACAATTCGCAATCTTAGTTTGATTACATAATTTCTTTATTAAATACTATATTAAAGCTCTACTATATCGAAAACTAAACAATTTTTACCCAAAAATACTCGGTTGATTCCTTTTATTTAGTACAAAAAGACATGAAACAAACGGACTAAAACACTTTGTAACTTTGAAAATGATTCGGACATTTTCGTAAATGATCGTATTTGTTCGGTTGACGAAGTCACGTGATCTTGAAAATTCACAATGCGCCTGCGTAGTGAAATGACAACCGCAGGAAAACATAACCTTTAAAACAGCATATTCGCAAATTGGTAAAATTGTTTATTGTTTATTGAAAAAAAGAGAATTTGTACTTTAATACTCGGATAATTAACAGTTTCACCATAATTAAGAGTGCTTACACTGCACACATAAGATGGCTCCTATTCAACAAGATTTACGCGATTCCAGCGGCGATTCAGGTAATGTCAATTTGCATGAATTTTGTAATTTATATTAATAAATATTAAATTTCCAAATAATACTAAAATCTAAAATCAAAGATTTATAATTTCTTTAATTTAGAAAGTGTTTTCAGTAGAGTTATTCATATTTAGAAGAGATAAATTGCAGCTTATTGATTGTGTGAAAGTTCTCTGAGACTGAAAGAAATCTGAACGAAACATCTGCATTTGTTTTTTTAACTTTTATTAACATATTTAAATGTTATTTTTATTTTATTTTTAACATTATTATTCTTTATTACCGTTAATTTTTATATTAGGTCTGTTTAAAAGTGTGGATGTATCAGTAAAAGTGACAACCAGCTTTTATTTTTGAAGGTTATGTTTATAATTTCGGTGCATTAACTTTTTTCATTGTAAACAAATTTTCTATATTTTACATTCTTTTGTGTTTAATTTTATAGGAACTTGTAAAATTCCTACATTAAAATCAGCGAATTTAAATTCCCCCATGTAAAATTAATAGTTTTAATGTGTTAATTTCGCAACATTTTGTAAATTTATTTTTTCTAAAATTTTGAAGGTTGAAATGAATAAAATCTTTTTTTGTTATCCAATATTTTCAAAAAATACTTAACTGAAATGAAAAACTGAAAATGAATTTTTTAATTATAGAAAACAATACTTTGCAATAAAATTCAAATTAAAAGAAGTAATAAAAATATTTTCGTTCATTTAACTTCAGGGACATTTGATAATTTTTTTTCTTTTTATAAATATGTTTAAAACTTGCAATAAAAGTAAGAATAATAATTAAAATTAAACATTTATTTAGAAAAGAATTAATTTTTCTAATATACAAAATAATTTTATAGAAAAATACAAATTTAAAGATGTGTAAGAAAATTATTTTCAATTGTTAATTTCAATTTTTGAATAATTTCAGATTCAAAAGTCAAAAAAATTAAATTATTAACTAATTCTATCTAATAACATTTTGTTCTAAACGATGAGACTAACTGATTTAATAATTAATTATGCTTAATTATTTATTGTTTTCAGAAACTAATAAAATTCTTCGCAAGAATAAAAATATTTTCAATAAAATTTAATTTAAATTTCTCAAAAGACTTAAATTATTTTAAAAAATTTGACAAAAATTCAATTATTTTTAAAATTTACAAAATGTTGTGCATAGGATTTGAATTATTTTAAAGAATTTTAATAAAATTCTTCGCAGAAACTCAATTACTTTGAAAAATTTTGATAAAATTTATGAGAATTGAATTTTAATTATTTTAAAGATTTTTTGTTTATTTTTATTTAAAGAAAGAATAAAACAAATATAATTCTTCGCAAATATTTTATTATTTTGAACAATTCCAATAAAATTTTATACAAGAGCAGAATCTAATTAAATACTTTAAAAAAATTTAATTTGTTCCCTAAATATGTAATAAAATTGTTTCCTGAAATTCAATTATTTTGAAGAAGTTTATTAAAATTCTTTAGAAGAATTTAAATATTTTTAATAAATTATTTTGATTAAATTTCTCGTAAGAATTAACTTATATTTGAAGGTTTTAATTAAATTTTCCCAAGAAATTTAATTATTTTGAAAAATTTAGGAAAATTTTTTTATAAGAATTCTATTATTTCAGGTTCAAAATTATAAAAGAAATATTTTTAATTGAAAACAATTGGTTTAATCAATTTTTGGTATTTATTAATTTTTTATTTTTTCGTTATTAATTTATTAATTTTATTAGATTATTTTTATTAATTTAAAAATGAAATGTAAAATAAACATCAAATTATTGAAAATTAATAGGTATTGAATAAATATATCTGTTTAATTAATTATATTTAATTGAGGAGATTTTTTTGACAAAAAGTTCTTTTTTAAGGATCCGACTCGGAAAGTGGATCGGGATCAGCATCGTCGAGTCGCAGTGGCTCTCCAACATCACACGCCGCACCCACGCCAGGCGGTGCACGAAGTGAACATTCCGACGATGACAAGCCACGTTCACCAGGTTCAAATGCCAGTGGATCACCGGCAAGATCAAATAAATCCGGTTCACGCAAATCGAGAAGCCCCTCCGCTGAATCAGGACGATCAGTGAGTCCCGTTTCCCGAAAATCCGTAAGATCACGCTCTGGATCACCTCGTGGGAGTACAAGATCAGAGAGTCCAAGATCAGTGAGAAGTCGAAAATCAAGAAAATCCGGATCTCGTTCACCAGATCGAAAATCAGGCTCACCGCAAAGTAATAAATCAGCATCGCCGAAAAGCCGACGATCTGGAAGTCCAGCTAGTAGAAGATCCCTCACGAGTCGACGATCTGGAAGTCCAGCAAGCAGAAGATCGCTCACGAGCCGCAGATCCGGCAGTCAGACGAGCCGACGATCGGGAAGTCAAACTTCCCAGGCGAGCAGACGCTCGGGAAGTCGTGCATCGCCGTCGAGTAGAAGATCAGGAAGTCGGACGTCTCGAGGAAGCAAGAGATCCGCTTCGCCGTCGAGCAGAAGATCAGAAAGTCGGACATCCCAGGGAAGCAAAAGATCCGCCTCACCTTCGAGCAGAAGATCTGGAAGTCGGACATCTCGGGGAAGTAAAAGATCCGCCTCACCTTCGAGCAGAAGATCTGGAAGTCGGACATCCCGGGCAAGCAAGAGATCCGCCTCGCCTTCGAGTAGAAGATCAGGAAGTGCCGTCAGTCGACGATCGAGATCCGGCAGTCGTTCTGGAAGTCAAGCTTCGCGCACCAGTCGTCGTTCTGGCAGTCAAACTTCACACGCGAGTAGAAGATCGGGAAGTCAAACTTCCCATACGAGTAGAAGATCGGGCAGTCGCGCTAGTAGAAGATCCGGCAGTAGAGTCAGCAGAAGGTCCGGCAGAAGTGCTTCACGAATCAGTAGAAGATCTGGAAGTCGAACTTCACCGGGAAGCAAAAGATCCGCCTCGCCTTCGAGTAGAAGATCCGGAAGTGCAGCCAGTCGACGATCAAGGTCTGGAAGTCAAACATCTCACGCGAGTAGAAGATCCGGAAGTCAAACTTCCAGGGCGAGTAGAAGATCAGGGAGTCGCACTAGTAGAAGATCCGGCAGTCGCACCAGTAGAAGATCCGGCAGTAGGCATTCCAGTCGATCCGCAAGTCCAAAGAATCGCAGTGACAATGAATCCGAGAAGTCTTTGAAAATAGCAGGTAATTCTAATCTTTTATTATTGCAAAATTAAAAAAAATGTGAGATTTATTGTAAATGTATGTTTTTTCTTTTAGCAGATCAAGGGAAGAAGTCCGATGATGACAGCGATGTTGAGGCACCGAGAAGTAAGCGCAAAGAACGTTCAGACTCAGCTTCAGAGACAGATGTTGTGAAGAAGAAACGAGCCTTGATTGATTCTGATTCAGAACCGGAAATCACGGAGAAAGAGCCTGAACCAACGGCAGACGCTCTTTTTGGTGATGCAAGCGACATCAGCACTGACGATGAGAAAGACAAAACCGAGGAAGGGAAGCAAGAAAGAAAGAGCAAAAGTCGTAGTCGTAGCAAGAGTCGCAGCAAAAGTCGAAGTCGCAGCCGAAGTCGTAGTCGTAGTCGTAATCGCAGTCGTAGTAGAAGCAGAAGTAGAAGCAGAGCTCCATCAGACGCCGGCGAAGGAACCAGCACCCAAAAAGCTCTAGTTTTCGACGTAAGTTATCCAAATTCAGAATTTTCAAAATGCAGGCCTCGAATAGTATGACTTTTTCGACTTTTCTCATACATATTGCAAAAAATAACACATTTTGGTATAAAATGCAACTTATTTCGATTTTCATATTTTTATAGTGTAAAAAATAACTAGTCATGTTTTCTGGTAAAGAATTTTACTTTTCTTGCTTTGATTCAAATCACTTTTTGTTCTTGTTTAACAACTTTTTTTACAGTTCTAAAAAGTGAAATTATTATTTATTTCTAAATTAAAACAAATTTAAAAATATTGTTCCAAATATTTTCCAAAATTTATTTTTGAGTTAAACTTGTTTTTACATTTTTATGAATTTTGACAATAAAAGAGTTGTTGCTACCGTTGCTACTCAGAAAAATCATAGAAAACTTCATTAAAGAAAAAAATACGTGAAAAGTTACAAATTGCAATTTTTATAAAAAAAATGAATGTATTTAAATAATGAATTCTCGAATAAGTTTCTAAAAATCATTAAAAATTAACCAAGTTGAAGTCCACAACCTTGATCAACGAAAAAAAATTGTCCACAAAGGAAATTAATTATAGATAACGCAGCAACATTGCCACAAAAATATTAAGAAAAAAAAATTGATGTTTATATTTTGATGATAATTGTTTTACAATTAATTTTTTTAATTAGGTATAAATAATATTTGAATGTATTAAATAATTATTTTTTGTTGATCAACGTTGTGAACTTCAAATTCATTAAAAATTATTGATTTACAGAAGATTTTTAGTTAAAATTTCTATAAATAATTGAAATTGGATGAGTTTTAGTAAAAATTATTTTTTTATATAATTGAATTCCAAAATGTTTCAAATTAAAGTGTATTTCAAAATTTGGATTTTTAGTAACTTTAATTAAAAATTCTAAAAAACGAATTATTTTAAATTTAATTAAAATTTTTTTTTAAATTAGTTAAATTTTTTAATAGGTATATATTACATATTTAATTAAAAAAAACTTCCGAATAATCGAAATTTTATAATATCTACCTATTTAATTGAAAACAATTGAAATTAATACGAATTTTAAGTGAATTTTTTCTTTTTTAAATAATTAAAGTCTCCAAGAACTTTCTGCAAATTATTATGAATAATTTATTTAGAAAAGATTTTTAGATAAAAATTATAGAAAATAATTGAATTTTGAAGAGATTCTTCTATAATAATTAAAAGTTAGAAGGTTTCAAATTAAAAATTTTTGTAAATTTCAATTGATTTTAAAAAATTGTTAAACTTTTAAATAATTGAAGTTTCAAGATAAAATTTTTGAATTTTGAGTAACTTTAATTAAAAATTAAAAGAAACTTAGCTTTCATAATAATTTTATTTAAAATTTATTTGAAATTAGTTGAATCTTTGAATATATATTATTTAATTTAAAAACTTTCAAATTATAAAATTTCGTAATGTTTAGTTGAAAACAATTAAATTTTAGTCGAATTTTATGCGAACTTTCTTTTTTTAAATAATTGAATTCTCAAATAACTTTCTCAAAATTATTAAAAGTAGTTGATTTAAAGAAGAATTTTTGTTGAAAATTGTAGAAGTAATTAAATTTCAAAAGGGTTAATATTAAAATTTCTTGAAAATTTCAATTGATCATAGGTATTTAATAATATTTAAATACTTATTTTAAGAAATTATTAAATTTTCGAATGAATTTGGATAAAAATTCTAGAAAGTGATTAAATTTTTTAAAAAATTATAATTTTTATTATTAAATAAATAATTTTGTTTTAAAACATTTTATTACAATTTTTAAAAGTAATAAACATGTTTTTTTAAGAAGAATGCTAAAAATTAGGAAAAACTTTTTGAAAAAAATTGAATTTTATAAGAACCTAGAATTGAAGTTATTAATATAAGGGGTAATTTTCTAAAAATAAAAAAAAGTCAGAGAAATAGAAAATCAAAATTTTGTGACAACTCTGAATAAAATAAACAACGTTTTTTGTTTTTTTTTGTTCTTTAAATCGACTTTTTTGCGATTTTATTTCTATCCGAAACCTGAATATTAAACAAATTTTCAATACCATTTATTTTAAATAAATCGAAATTAAAAAAATGTCTTACTATTAAAAATTAAATTATCATCTTAGGATGAAGATAAAGAGAAAGAAGATGAGGTTGAACCACCACCAGAAACAAGAATCGACGTCGAAATACCAAAGATCAGCACCGATCTTGGTAAAGAGATACATTTTGTAAAATTGCCAAATTTCTTGTCCGTCGAGACAAGACCATTCGATCACGAGACCTATGAAGACGAAATCGACGAGGAGGAAACATTGGATGAGGAAGGTAGAGCGAGATTAAAATTAAAAGTGGAAAATACAATCCGGTGGAAGGACTATATGGATGATGATGGAAAAATGGTGAAGGAGAGTAATGCACGTTTTGTTCGATGGTCCGATGGCAGTATGTCACTTCATCTTGGGTCGGAAATTTTCAACGTCTACAAACAACCATTGCAGGGTGATCACAATCATCTTTACATTCGACAAGGCACTGGTCTTCAGGGACAAGCCGTGTTCCGTACAAAATTAACGTTCAGACCACATTCGACCGAATCGTTTACTCACAGAAAAATGACAATGTCACTCGCCGATCGTTCGCAAAAGACTTCTGGTATTAAAGTTCTTTCTCAAGTGGGAATGAATCCAGATCAAAATAAACACGAAATGATTAAGGTAAACACCTGCAATTTTTTTAGCTTCATTTCGATTCTGTAAAATTGTTTGAAAATTAATTGAAATTCAAAATTCTTTCTTTTGTTCTTTGCAGAAAGAGGAAGAAAAGTTGAGAATGTCAATGAGAGTTCAGCCGAAGAGTAAGAAAACGACAAGTGGTTCTAGAAGTGCAAATCGCGCTTCTGCTGGATACGCAGGTGATTCCTATCATGACGAGGGTTCTGACGATGAAGGAGCCATTTCTCTAGCCGCTATTAAAAATCAATACAAAAAAGGCGGTCCTTCTCAAAAGAGTAAGTTTTTCGTTCTATATTTTCGAACAGAAAACACGCTTTGCACTTATTTACTAAAAAAATTCTATTTACTACTTTTTTACGATAAAAAAATTATTCTCAAAAATTTTAATAAAATTCTTAGAGACAATTTCAACAAATTTTAATAAATTTTTAAAAACGATTCAATTATTACTTAAAATTTTTAAAAAATTTTGCAAGAATTCAATTATTTCAATTCACTATTTTCACAAATAATGAGATTCTTCTCCAAAAATTTAACTATTTCCATAAATATAATAAGAAACTTTTAAAAAAGAAATCAATTAATGTAATTAAAATATTCTAATAAAATTCTTTAAAAGACATTAGTTATTTACAAAAATTTTGATATAATTTTTTACAAGAATTTAATTATTTAAAATAATAACAAAATTCACCAAAAGAATTCTATTAATTTTAATACAATTCAATTATTTTTTTAAATTTTAATAAAATTCTTCGAAAAAAATCAATTATTTTCAAAAAGTTTGATAACATTTTTTATAAGAATTCAATTCTAAGAAATAATTAATTATTTATTTTTGTATTCAAATAATTGAATAATTGAACGTAACACAAATTTTCATAAATTTTGAGAAATTTTTTCGCAAGAAATCAATTATTTTCACAAATTAAAAAAACAATTTTGAAGAAAATTTTTAGAAAAAAATAAATTATTTAAAATACTTTTATAAAATTTTACGAAAAAAAATTGTTTATAAGATATTTACTATTTCCAATATTTAATTTCCATTAAATTCCTCGAAGGAATGTAATCACTTTCATAAATAATGAAATTCATCAAAAGAATTCAATTAATTTTAATACAATTTTAATTAAATTATTAAAAAGAATTCAATTTTTTAAAACATTTTAATAAAGAAATCGAAAGTAATCAATTATTTTCAAACATTTTGATAAAATTCTTTATAAGAATTCAATTTTATAAATTAAGATCAATTATTCTATCATGTTTTTAAAAAAGTTTTTACATCAAAATTATTTAAAAATTTAATTTTTGTGGAAAAATAAATAAGAATAATTGTATCTTTTATATTTATTTAACCAAAATTATTTTCGTTTTGAATAATTTAATTTAGAAATTATGTAGAAAAGTAGTCTATCCAGGGTGTCTACTAACCGGGAATTCCGGGAAAACCGGGAAATAACCAGGAATTTTATTTGACCGGGAAAAACCGGGAATTAGCCGGGAATTTTATACCGAACCGGGAATTTTTTCACAAAAATTAAAAAAGTTTTATTATTTTAATTTGTTTTTAAAAAATCAATTTTTATTTCAATTTTTATAGATATTTATACTGTTCTCTAAATTTAAGTTAGTTAAAAATAATTAATTTGATGATAAAAAGTCAGTTACCAATTCAAATATATTATGTAAATAAATTTTAAAAAAATTATGAAGTTAATAGAAATATTGTGAAATTCGACTGAAAATATGTAATTAAATTTGTTAAAGAAATTCATTAGAAACTTTTTAACAAATAGAATTTTCAAAGTATTTTAATTTAATAATAATTGATTAATAATTGAATATTATAAAGAGTAAAATTCTAATGTATTCATGTTTCTTACTGCGAAGATTAATAATTAAAATTTTTATTAGTTAATTTAAAATTAACTAAAAAAAATTAAAAATTAATAAAATTGTTTAATAAAATTGAACTTTCGCAAAATTTTTTTTAAATCTAAAAAATAAAATTGTTGTAATTTTTTAATTCTATTGTTTCAAGATAATTGAATATTTTTCTAAACAAATCATTGAAATTTTTTTACTTTTTTTGAAAAATAATTGAATTTTTTTTTTTTTCGAAATTTTTCGAAAATAATCAAGGGACCATAATTATAATTTTATTTTTAAAATTTTAAGTCCCTCTTACAGTTTTAAATCAATTTTTTGCTTCTAAAAATTATACTATTCTATTATTATTTAATAATTATAATTATTGAACTTCTCTTAAATTTTTATCATTTTAAATTTCTGAATGTTCAAATAAATGATATTTATTTATTTCTTGAGCAAATTAAATGTTTATTACATATTAAGTAAATAATTATTTATTGCTGCTTATTATTTTCAAAAATTTTAATAAAATTCTTCACAAAAATTAAATTATTTTCATAAATAATAGCATTCTTTGGAAGGATTCAATTATTTTTATAAATAGTAAAATTCTTAGCAGAAGTTCAATTATTATCAATGTAATTTTAATAAAATTGAAAAATACAATTTTCAATTATAATTATAAAGAGACACGATTATTTTTAAAAACTTGAAAAAATTCTTTGTTTAATTCAAGTATTTTCCAAGTTTTTAATTAAAATTATTGAAAAAAACATTATTTTCAAAAAATTTAATGATTTATTTATGTTTGAAATCAAATTTAAATTTAAATTTGATAAGAAAAAAAACCGGGAAAAAATTAGGATATAGCCGGGAAAAACCGGGAAATAACCGGGAATTTTGTTAAACGAAAATAGTAGACACCCTGTCTATCGAAAACTTGTAATTAAAATTTTTTAGACAGTTAAATTTCCGTAAAAATTAAAAAAAGTTAAATTAAATTTCTATTTAATTCGAAATTTTGTTCTAATTGATATAAAATTCATATTTTAAAGAATCTTTTTTTAATTTTTAAAATTATTTTAAAATAAAATCGTATTTTCAAAGAACTCCAACTAAAAATTTGGAAAATAATTAAATTTTTGAAAAATTTAGAATTTAAGTTATTAGCAGGATAAGAAAAAATGTAAATATTTTTTATGAAAATCAGGAAAAACTCGGGAAAATACTGAATCAAATTTTTGTGATCTTTATGAATCGACTAAAACGAGTTTTTTTAGTCTTCAAATTTAATTTTTCAATAGCTACTTCTTTATTACTTATTTTCAGTCTTAAAACTATTTTTTTAAAATTAATTATCGAGTGTAAAGCCTGAGAAAGGTAAAAATGGAGAAAAATTGTAAATTTTGCATTTCATTTCAGTTTCAGCGAATATATATTCTTCGGACGAAGACGGTTCAGATGTAGAAGCAATGAGACCCAAGAAGAATGTGAAAAGCAAGGCAATTCAGGATTCGGACGATTCGAATTCTGGATCTGAAAGTGGTTCAGGAAGTGGTGAAGAAGCGGAGGCCGCTGCTGAAATTGAAGGCAGTGATTAATTTTCTTCCCATATTTATGAAGATGTAAATAGAATTCTTTTTCCATACGAATTTTTCTTTCAGAATTTTTCTATATAAGTAATCTTTAAACTAAGTTTTTCTCAATTAAACATTTCTCTGTAGAATTAAAAATTACAAATAAATTAGTTTAATAATTATTTCACAATATTCATAGAGTGATTTATTTCCAATAGGCATTACAATTCTCTTAATTATGCATAATTAAAATCACAAAGAGAAATATAATAATATTAATCGTAATAACCGTCTGTACATTCATAATGCAAAATCTCAAAGTTAATTTTACATTTTCCATTTACACAATTCAATCTATTGCACGCAATTTTCATTTCTCGGTGCAATTTCTAAAATCAAAAAAACAAAGCTCTACATTTTGCTTCATAATATAAATTTTCTTTAACATAATTGGCTTACTGAAGAAAGTTTTACATGAAATATATACAAAATTTGCAACAAACTGTTGCTTTATTAACAAAATTGTAAATAGTCTTATTCATTACTCCTCACGCGAAAAAAAAATTAATACAGGGAAGACCCAGATTGAATTTTTCAATGTGCGTTTACAAAAAAAAACTTCTCAGCATTTTCAATTTACTGAAATTAATTTATATATATTATATACAAAAGAAAAAGAATTCTCTCTTAGAAGCCTCGCAAAACTTAAATACAATGCTTCCTCATGAGGAAGTAAAATTAAACTAAACTCGGAAACTATACAAAATGAGGGGGCTTAATAAATAATTCATTTCACAGGCAGCACACGACTAATCGCAATTTGTGGTAGCACACCTGATAAATAAATAAATATACAACGAAAAAGAACCGCTCGCAGTACCAGAAAGAATTTTTCTTTTTTCTTATAACTTTCACATCAATTGATAATAATTTCAATGCTTTGATTTATTTCATTCACACTCCGTTCAATTACTTTTCTTTTTAATGAAGGCCTATTTTATTTGTTTGTCGTCTATTTCACATTCTCTCTTACGACGTAGGAAGTTTAAACAATCAATAAACAATGAGTTTATTTTTAATTCTTATGAAAATGAGATTTTTTTAGTTTCTTAATTTTAATTTTACTGAATTAATTAATTTGCTTGAAAGAAAAAGATCTTGAAAAAGGAAGAAAAAGAAAGAAAAACTAATTTTAATAATAAACAAATGATTTTCGTTTCTAAATAAACAAAATAAAATTGAGAATTAATGAAAAAAATTTTAAACATCATTTCTCATCTTTTATTATTGTTTGAAATCAAAAATATTCGTTTTATTAAGTTCATTTTAAAAAGTGATTTTAGCTTTTTTTGTTTCTCTTATTTTATTTCTTATATATTTCTCTTATTTATTATTTTCTCTTGTTAAGAAAAATGTCTTTTTGTTCGCAAATTAATGTATTCGAAAGATTTACTTTTTTTATTTCCTATTTTTTAAGTAAATAACACTTTTTTCAAATATAAGTAAAAAAAAGTTTTCGCCAACAAATTTAATGATAAAATTAAATGACAAACATTTCGAATATATTAATCTTTCACTCAAAAAATAACTTAAATTTTCCTTTTTTTGTTTTATTGTAAAATTGATTAAAAAATAAAACAAAAAATCATGTATTTTTTTTAAGAAATTGTTGAAAATTCTTATATAAAACTAAAAAAAAATATTTTTGTAAAAGAAAATTAAATTCATGATTTGAAATTAAATATTAAATAAAAGTCCTTCAACATGCAGTGAAGTAAACTTTTATAAATAAATAAGTAGAAAATCTTTTTAAAAATATAACATTTTGTCAAAGACAATTTACTGATAAATTATATTCCTGAAGATTCAAACGTTCAAATAAACGACAATTTTTTTCTTATTTTATTCAAATTTGAATTTTGTTAGAAATAATTTTTCTCTGTAAATTTAGGAAATTAATTCCTTTCTTCAAATGTTTAATTTATTTTATTTTTGATTTTATTCTAGTAAGTTTCGAAAATATTTAAGAATAACTGAAATATTGAATGAAATCGGATGTTGAGACTCCACTCCATAAATTTAATTTCACTTATCTGATCTTTTCTTGAATTTTCCTTTAGTGATTTGACTAAAAAAAAAAAAAAAAAAAAATAAAAAAAAAATTAAAATTTAAAAATTTTAATTTTTAAAATTTTTTTTTTTTTTTTTTAATTTTTTTAATTTTTATTTTAAATTTTAAATTGTTAAATCTTATGGAATGGTCGGCTGAATTTTTAACAATTTAAATTAATTTTATTATTTTTTTAACAAAAACAATGTGAACGTGATTTGAACCTTTTTCAGAGAATCACCCTTAAATTGATTAAAAATTTTCCTTTATTTGAACGTTCAAGACTTTAGGAAGAAGATAAATTAGTTTCTTTAAAAAAAGGTTCACTTGTAAAAAAAAGAATTGACCGTACAATGTTTTTTGAATTACTGCCTTCTTAAAATCTAAAGCATGTCAAAAAATGAATGGATTTCTGTTCTCTAAATATTCTAAAAATGCATGCTCTAAATATTCCACTAAAAATCCAGTCCTCGTAGTATAAAATATAATTATCACGAGCGTGTATAGCGCTTTTTTCTATATCATTGAAGATTAGAATATGTATATAAATTTATATAAGAAACTACCACCGCGAAAGCGAGAAACGCAGCTTATCACAATATTATGTAGTGGATAGCAAGCGACGAGATTTTAATTAACCAGATCCGTTCATTTCAAGGCAGGATTCCTTTGGACGTTTGGCAGGCACATTAAATGCAAGAGTCACACTATTAAAGAAATCAACATTCAAAGAAACTAGAGTACTCAAAAAAATGTTTTTTTTTCTCTTCTTCTTTCCTTCAATATTTTCATTTGAATGCTTCTTTAAAAAAAAATGACTCTCAAATTAGTGGTCCCAAGGTAAAAACAAAAACGGATCGAGGTTTGAGATCGAAAATACAGTCTCGCACTTATATTATTATCATCATTACCGAATATACTGAATTCTAGTTGATTACAACGACGAACACATTTTTTTTTTTGTAAATCGAGAGACATTTTCAAAGGAGAGAAAAAATTCGCTTGTAATTTTTAATTAATTTCTTCCATCAGAAATTATATAAAATCTCGATTGATGAGTAATTTCTGTGTAAAAATTTGGAAAGATTGAATCAGATGTGAAAAGTGTCTCTCGATGAAAAAGAAATAAATTGAAAGAGAAAAGAATCAAATATTTGTGCGTATAATTAATTATCTGGTCTTTTTCATTAAATAATTCTGCGTCCGCTTTTTCTTCTGTCTTGTTTCTTTTTTTCTTTCTTTTTGCAACTATTTGCCAGTGTTTGTTGCTTTTAATAAAGCGTGCAAATTGTTGCGAGTCTTTTCTTGTTTAGTCATTATTTACAACGAGGATGCGTAGGTCCCTCTGAAGAGCTGCCCAATTGTTTGAAGTCTTGATAAAATAGAAAAATTCTCCGATACTTGTAATAAAGTTCAGCGAATTTTGTCATAGATCAGTCTCCAGCATCCTCGGTACATCTGGATCTCAGCAAGCCTAAAAACAATTTTTTTAATTAGTTTCTTCTATACAATATATTTACATCACTATTTTATTTATTATTACAGGGTTGCCACAAATCAGGGAAGTCAGGGAATTCAGGGAAAATTCAGAGTCAGGGAAATTAGAATTATTGATCAGGAAAAAGTCAGGGATTTTTATTAAAAGTACTGAAAAAATTTAAGTTTTAAAATTTATAAGAAAATTCTGAATTTTAGTGTCTTTTTTGTTTGCCTCACAAACTATAAAATTGACAAGAATTTTAATACAAAACTTTCAATTTTTTCTGTTTCTGACAATAATTTCTTTTTAAATAACTTAATTCTTCAAGAACTATCATAAAATTATTATTCAAAAATTATTTAATGAATAATTTTACTTAAAAATTTTCAAAATTAATTAGATTTCAAAAGACTTGTGTTTAAAATCTGTATAATTCGATGAACTTCAAAGGCTTCAATATGAAGTTTTAAAAAATTTTAATTTTTAATGAATTTAAATAGAAATTTTAACAACAACTGATTACAGAAATTCAATTATTTTCAAAAATTTATAAAAATTCTCGTCAAAATTTCAATTATTTTTATAAATAATACAATTCTTCTCCGAAATTCAATTATTTTCAAAAAAATTTAATAAAATTCTTGGCAAAATTTCAATTATTTTCAAAAATTTTCCTCATTTCAATTATTTTTAATATCTACTATTTTAATAAAATTTTTCAAAAGAATTCAATTATTTAAACGAAATTTTAATAAAAATTTCACAGGAATTCAATTATTTTCTACTTTTTTAATAAATTTCTTCGCACCAATTCAATTATTTTTAATTTTTTAATGAAGTTTATCGAAAGAATTCAAATATATTTAAAGAATAGAAAAAAATAGTTCTGAGAAATTCAATTATTTCGCACAATTTAAATAAAATTCTTTTAAAAATTCTATTATTTAAAAAAATTTTGACAAAATTCTTTACAAGATTTAGTTAATAATATTGCAATTTTAATAAAATTTTCCTATTCAATTCAATTATTTTCACAAATAATACATTTTTTTATAGGAATTCAATTATTTGAAAAAAATTTGAATAAAATTCTTCGTAAGAAATCAATTATTTTCATAAATAATAAAATTTTTTTCGAGAATTCAATTATTTCAAAAATTTTGATAAAATGCTTTATAAATTTGAAAAATTATAATAAAATTGACTATAGTACTATAGAATACAATTATTTTCGTAAAATATAACATTCCTTTATAGGAACTACAATTTTACTGTCAAAAATGTTTGTAAAAATCTTCGAAACAATTCAATTATTTTCTTAAAAAATAAAATTCTTCGAAGCAATTCAATTATTTAAGAAATTTTAATTAAATTCTTCCCAAGAATTCAATTTTTTTCAAAAATAAAACTTTTCACAAGAATTCAATTATTTAAAAAAAAAATTTAATAAAATTCTTCGTCAGATTTCAAGTATTTTTAATTTTTTAATGAAATTTTGTCGATGGAATTTAATTATTTTCAAAATGTTATAAAAAATTCTGAGAAATTCAATTATTTAAAAAATTTGAATAAAATTCTTCACGAGAAACTAATTAATATCATAAACAATAATATTTTTCTCCGGAATTCAATTATTTTCACAAATAAAATATTCTTCACAGTAATTTAATTCTATAATAATTTTATAATAAAATTCGTTGGCAAGAATTAAATTACTTTTATAAATAACAATATTTATAGCAGAGTTTCAATATTTTTTTTTTTTACAATTTTACATAAACGGATAGAAAATTGCATTTATTCTTTATAATTTTTTTTAAAATCGCCGAAAGAATTCAATTATTTTTAGAATTTTTTATAAATTTCTTTTAAAAAAATTCAATTTTAAGAAATATTCAATAATTTAATACATTATTTATCTTTTTATTCAAATAATTGAATTCTCGAAATATTAAAAGCATCATAGCGTGAATTTTTTTATAAATAAGTGGATTTTGAAAAGGGTTCAAAAATTAAAATCTTTGAAAATTTAAATGTTTACCTAGTTGCAATATTCTTATAATATAAAATAATGATTTTATCTCTCTGTAATTTTAAATTTATTATAAAACGTGAAGAAATCGATTGCTCCGAGTCGAAGACTCGGAGTGATCGATTTCTTCATGTTTTATAAGAAAAAAATAAAATGTTTTATAAGTTGTTTAATTTCAGAAGGTTTTGATTTGAAATCCTTAATTCCTATATAGAAAAATAATAATGATTTATTTAAAAATGTATTTATTTTAAAAAGAAGTTATAAAGAAGAAATTATTGATGTTGTCGAATAATTTTACACATAAAAAATTTGTAAATATAAATGTAATAGGACATTTCTTTAAATATCTAATAATTTTTGGAGTGAATCGGTATATTCTTCAGGGTAAGGGAGAAAGTCAAAATTTTGTCTGGAAATCAGGGAAAAGTCAGGGAAAAACAAAATTAAATTTTCGTGACAACCCTGTATTATTATTTAAAAAGTACTTAATTATAATGCATTTTTTATTATCATATTTCTTATTGAGATTTTTTTATCAAAAAAAAGAAATGAAAATAATTTCTAAAAATAAAAAATTAAGATTTAAATCAAGAGAACTTGACAATGATGCGAAGGTCACTAAGAGAAAAATAAATATTGAATTTTTTTTTAGACTGTAAGGCATATAAAAAGACCTTGTCAACGTGCTTTTAAAATGAGAATATGCTTCGAAATAGTTTTTTTTCGGGTGGAATATGTTCCCACATATGCCGAGACGATTAGTAGTGTTATTATATATTCAAAAAGCTGAAAGCTGCGGTGATCGTTTCACTAAAAAAGGTTCTATGAAACTCCCTCTCATGGTAGGAACACGTGTCTATTGAACACGTGCGGAACACTAGTAGACCAATTAGAATTTCCAATCGAATATACACCCCCCCGTTGTTTAAACGCGAGTTTCAATTCTAAAGGTCCAATAAACCTTTCAGAATCTGACACTCTGATGAATTAGTTTTTTTCTCTTTTTTTTCTTCTTCTCTTTCTCAGTTGGCTTGAAGCACCATCACATCGCAATTATTATAAATTCAACTTGGAAATAATATCAAACAGATGCTCTCAAGCGCTCTTGATTTTTAATTTCCAAATTGAAAAAATAAACAACCGATGAGATACTGAAAAGAAAAGAGTGAATAGAAAATAAGGTTCTAAATTAAAAGAATTTCTAGTTTGATTTTATTTTTAATTTAAAAAAAAACTTGAAATAAAAGAAAAATTCACAATTTTCAATCAATAATAATTTCGAACTATTGGTTTTTTTTAGGAGAAATTAATTAAATTTTCTCAACTAAAATGGTAAATTAAAGAAAAATGTTTAATAAACATTTTTTTCAATAAAAATTGCTAACCAGGCAAAATAATTAGGTAACGATTTTTTTTTTTTGTAATTATATATCGCAGTTTGAAATTAGTTGTTTTTATTTACTTTTCCGTTTCCTACTTTATTTTGCCAATTTTTTCTATTTAAATGTTTTGAATTTTCAAATTAATAAAACTCTAATTTAATGAATTTGGAAGATTAAATAACAATAAAAATTATTTTTTATTAATATATTAAAAAATTGAAATATCTCGAACAATTTTAATAAAATTTTGAAGAATAATTAAATTTTTATAAAGAATTCTATCAAATTTTTAAAATTCAATTATTTTCATAAATGATAACATTTTTCGTAAGAATTCAATTATTTTTATAAATAGTAAATTTTTTTGCAAAAATTCAATTATTTTTAAACAAAACTTTAATTAAAATTCACAAACGAATACAATTATTTTCTAAAACTTTAATAAATCCTTCGAAACAATTAAATTATTGTCAAAAAAATTCCACGAAAGAATTCAGTTTTTTTCTTAATTCGTTATAAAATATTTTAAAAGAATTCAATTATTTTAAAAAAAAATTTCACAAAAGAATTCAATTTTTTTCGTAATTCGCTATAAAATTTCTACGAAAATTCAATTATTATCAAAAAAATTTCACGAAAGAATTCAATTTTTTCTTAATTCGTTATAAAATATTTTAAAAGAATTCAATTATTTTCAAAAAAATTTCACGAAAGAATTCAATTTTTTTCTTAATTCGTTATAAAATTTTTGCAAAAATTCAATTATTATCAAAAAAATTTCACGAAATAATTCAATTTTCTTCTTAATTCGTTATAAAATATTTTAAAAGAATTTAATTATTTTCAAAAAAAATTTCACGAAAGAATTCAATTTCTTTCGTAATTCGCTATAAAATTTCTACGAAAATTCAATTATTATCAAAAAAATTTCACGAAAGAATTCAATTTTTTCTTAATTCGTTATAAAATATTTTAAAAGAATTCAATTATTTTCAAAAAAATTTCACGAAAGAATTCAATTTTTTTCTTAATTCGTTATAAAATTTTTGCAAAAATTCAATTATTATCAAAAAAATTTCACGAAATAATTCAATTTTTTTCTTAATTCGTTATAAAATATTTTAAAAGAATTTAATTATTTTCAAAAAAAATTTCACGAAAGAATTCAATTTCTTTCGTAATTCGCTATAAAATTTTTGCGAAAATTCAATTATTATCAAAAAAATTTCACGAAATAATTCAATTTTTTTCTTAATTCGTTATAAAATATTTTAAAAGAATTCAATTATTTTCAAAAAAAATTTCACGAAAGAATTCAATTTCTTTCGTAATTCGCGAATTACGAAAGAAATTGAATTCTTTCGTGAAATAATATCTTCGCGCTATAAAATTTTTCAAAAGAATTTAATTTTCAATTATTATTAAATTCATTATTCAATAATTACACTTGGGATTTTTTCGGCGTTAGTTTAGAACAATTTACAACAATTTTGGGCACAATTATTTTTAATAAACGATTCTAAAATTCTCGACCGTTTTGATTGTTAATACATTTATTTTTGTTTTTAATTGTAGAC